ATACTTAAAACAGCTTTGCTTAGTTTTATTTTTTATAAAGTCTTAGTTTCTAAGAAGTTATTAATTCATATATACAATAACAATTATTTCTTTAACGAATAACAATATTATTTTAAGATATAACTATAGTTAAAGTTAATTAATTATATAGAATATAATATACTATGGCACTATTCGAAGTTTTTGTCAAAAATTACTTCATCGCATTAGTTTTAACTTACTTTAAAATAAATTACTCATAGTAACATTAAAACTATAAAATATCCTTAAAATATAGACTGATACGTTATTGTTGAGTTTTTATTTCACACATCCATTACATCGGCTATACTCATCGAAAAGGCACACTTGAAACCAACTAGACAGCATAGGGACTTAGTAGGTTAATGTGTTTTTTTTTCAATATTATTTTAGTGGTATAACACATAATATTAATTATATTGAATTGTAATTTTATTGACAATAGCCAGGACATTGTAAAAATTGCGATATATAATTAATTGTTATGAACAAGAGATACAGCAGTAATTTATTATTTATAAAATTGTGTGTCGTTAAGAATACAAAATAAATATTAGTATTTTTATTATAGTATAGCCGTTGTTAAACAACAGATAATCAAAAATACGTTATTCAGTAATTGTTATATACCCGGACTTCGGCACGAAAAAAAAAACATAATGACTACAATAAATTGTTTTAATATTCGAAACGTTACCCACAATATTTTACAATGGGATTTTATCGGAGAATCTAGGTAAACGATGAAACACTACAGACCTAAGGGCGAAAAGAACAAACAGTGATCTGAAACATAAATATATCATGGTTTGTAAAGGAAATCTATCATGTTTTTATAGTTCAACATTTTACCCTAATTTAAATATCTCCAATAATTCACCAAAATTGCTAGTTCACTGACAAAATGTATAGTAAAATATATAATTATCTTAAATTCAAAAATTACAAAACGTTTAATATATAATATAATTAAAATATAGTGTAATAATTTAGTATTAATACAATATTTAAGATTTTTCATAAATTGTTATTTGTAAAAAACAGAAAAGTGTTCTGGTAACTTTAATACTATTATAATAGTATAATACATATTGTTTTAAGTGTTAGATAATAAAATATTGGCCAAAAAATAATTATAATTTTTAATTCATATAATCGGCAATAGTAATATTTTGATCTTAATTCAAAAAATAAATGTTTTCATACAGCAATATAAAAAATAAAAAATATAAATTACCAATCTTTTTTATTGCCTTTGAAGATAATACTTTTTATTATGTTATACAACTAATGTTGTTATTAAAATCATTTTATAAATCAACATTTCCAAACATTACCAAATAGAAATGATATCATATTATTTTGTATTTATATATTATATTATTTGTATTGGGTAATTATGAATTTTTGAAAAAATAGAATTTATATTATTTATATATTAATTGTAAGAACACCAATAGTATCTATGCATAATTTATTATATTCTATAATCACTGTTGTCTTGTTTTCTATCAAATCTGTGTATATGTATAATAATTATTCAATACTAACAAATCTTTCCATTATTAAAAAGTAACATTATAATTTTGTAACTCTCGTAGGAAATTACTTGGTTATCGAATGTGTTTAAGATGTAACAATATATAAGAAATTCAGTACATTATTGTTGTCATAATACACTCTATGACGTATGAGTAGAACTTGCTGTCGTCTATGATATTATATTATATAATTAGCTGATCTCGTGCACTTTAAAAATGGTAACTCTTAAAAAAATTATGATTGTTCAACTTATTTTGGGTGTAACTCAGGAATCTGACTTAGTTGGATCATGGACAAGGGGCAACTCATCCACAATGGTTGGCAATGTATTATAAATAAATAATTATTTTTTCAAATTATTTCTCCAATAAACAATAGAAATTATTACTTATATAGGTATACAATTTACACGTCCAATTTTGTTTTTTCCCCCATTTTAACCCCTAAAATCAAAATCCTATTCTTAGTGCACAGACAAATTATAATATTAATCTACTCTCAAATTTTCGAATCGATAGCTCTAATAGGTTTGGCTCTGCGTTGTTATAAATCAGTCACCCAGGGCACTCTCGTAGTCTCGTTTATATAAATTATACAGTTATTATGCATAAAAAATATTCAAAATATACCTACCTACATATTCGTTATTGGCTAAATAGTAGATTTTTATAAAATTATAAAAACTGGTTTTGTTTGTCTAACCTTTTCGACATTCCAAAATAAAAATACTTCACAAACTACAAACTTGAGAAGAAATTAATTACTTTGCTTTAATTTCTCAAAATGTATAATAAATGTACCTACGACTACACGCGTCTTAAAACAGAGGCCCTGTGTGCTTCACTACGGGTTCATTAGAAATACATTAAAGTGTCAAACGAAATAAAATTACAACAATAAACAGCGTCCCTGTGTTTGTTTCATCATGTCAATAATCGTATGCTCTTCATCACAATGTGTTAGTACAAGTTTATTTCATCTGCGCTGTACAAATATTGGGTTATACACCATTAATGCGTATTGTACATAAGGATGTTCGTTACACTTTGATGACGTGAGGATAAATATGAATTTCCAGAGATCTAAAACAATACGCATTGTGTATGACAAATTAGTATATTATTATTATAATATGTTGCTTACAATAATACGTATTACTTATCATATTTTGTGAGCATGAGACACTCGCATACTGAACTCAGTCGTTAATTCATAAAAATCAAATGGATTCTCGACGTATACGTTGTATAATATTATACGTACATGAATAAATATACTAACTATAATATATATATTGTATACTTTATTTGGACGCTGTTGTATGCACGATGGGGGTACACGACTGTTATTTGAACTGTTTTTTTTTTTGACGCTCAATCAAACGTATGACCAACATACTTCAATAAGTCATCGGAATACATCAGTCGAGATTTATTTTTTGTTCATTAGGTGATATATAACTATATAAGTTTAGATTCTATAGCTATACATAGTGTATTACAATAATAACTATTAGGTAAGTACTCACGTGATGACTCTAATCTACAGCTACCCATATTATAAAATTACGGAATCATTTGTACCGAACGAATTCAGACTTGCCGTCGGATAAGTCTGTGAATTTGCACAGGATCAGCAACTCATGCTAGATACTATAGATACCGTTCAGTGATACCAGTGCACGATTATGGTGAACTTGCAAGACAGACAAACATAGTAGGATATTTTTGTGAGGTAGCATCCCTTGTGTCATCTTCGATCGCGTCAATTATCGATATCATGCGGTTGCTATTATAGCACCACATATCGACGGACACTACACAACTGATTACATTTATGATACTATAACGTAAAATATATAGTAGAGGCAGAACAACAGAGCAATAATACGGATCAAAAAAAAAAAAGAAAACTGACAGGGAAAAAGAGAGGGGGAGAGATAAAACCCGACCGGGCACAGTGGTCTCTGCGGCCGGCACCACTGATGGTGCCGGGTATGTGTGGGGCGGTGGGGAAGGAGTAAAAATGAGACGACTAATCATTTTAAATTGCATTACGAGTCGTCGGTGGCAGCGGTGGTGGTTGCGGACGCGAGAAGGAAAGGGTATAACGTCGTCGGTCTGTTAAAATAATTGAATCGAGATAAAAGTTTAGCCGGGATCGCGACCCGGGTCTATTGTCTTGGTCCAAATTGCGGTCTGCCCCCTTTTAGACCCCGAAATCACCCACCTCCGATGACCCTCTCAACCCAACACCGACCTCCACTGCCTAACGCGCGTGCGTAGACTGTGGCACGTGGAAGTGGCGGTGGAGGAGACGGAGGTAGTGACGGTCATACGGTATACAATTTACAGTATACGACCAGGCCACGTGACTGGTACCAGAATCCGTCCAGGCGGTGAAAGTCAGATTTTTCCAAAAGGTTTTTCCAAATACCCATTTTTTTTATTTTTTGTTAGGTTTTACACACTTTATTGGTGACGACGGCGATCGAACGATATATATGATGACGATGATTCTTATACGAATTCGGAATGTCACAGTAAAGTACTGAGTTGTATATTATAGTTGTCACTGCGGCACTCCTCAAAATTAACTTTCGTCTTACTATATCCCCCCCACACCAGACTCCCGGAAAACTTACTGGTTTTCTTCCATTGTAAATAATTACGATTGTTTTAATATAGTAATTGGCCAAAATTCCAAAAACCGACTGGAATAATATTATAATATGATTGGCGCCTTGTACTAACAAGTAACAACCCTCTCTCCTCACCATGAATAAAGTCACCTCTATAAACTGTCGGGTCGTGGTCCACTCTACCAACACGACGACTACAGCTGCTCCGCTCTCACTTTGCCGATCGGCGAGAGCGTTAAACATTATATTATAATAATATGAGTCGTGTTCGGGTTTAGGACGGGTCGGCGTTTATTGGGTAGTCGATTCTAATGCCTCGACGGGCGTTACTATACGCTGCAGGATAATGGGGTTTGAGTAATCGACCGTAAACTGGAAAAAATATAACTGGGAAGGTTTGTTATAATATATTATTATGTATTTATCACGTGAATATTAAAACGAGTTCGGGCATGTTGTTTTTTAATCGACGAACAATATTATTAGTTCGTACAAATAAAATATCCAAAACCGCATCGTACATAATTACTTCCTATAGATGATGATGTTAATATGAAAACCATAATACATAATGTTATAAATTAATTGTTAAAAACATGATACACGACATAACGACAACAGTAATTTTTATAATTGATAGGTAACCTACAGTTCTGTGGTGACCGTCGTATCGTACAGGCGTATCGTCCTCGTTACCTGCGTTATCGTAATAGCCGTGCAATATAGGCCGGATAAACTAGGAACATTTTATACATTTTGCCATAGTGTTTGTATCTGATGTATCTAAAATTGCTTCATGTTCCGTGATGAGCCATCAAAACGAAATTTATCGTCATTTTCGTTATCCTCATCGTCTCCGAAACAAAACAATCCAAAAAGTAAACCTTTCGTTTCTCCAAATCAATATGAGCTTCTCAGGATTTTATTCAGCACTCCTACGGTCACAGATCCACTTCCTATTCAAGACGAGGTCATGGTCGACTCGAAATCTCAGCCAACGGAAAACGATCACCTTATTCGTAAGTCACTGCGAATATTTGTTACAAATATAACTAACCTTAATGCGCCACCGCCCTATATTATCACTATATTGGGACCATATAGATAAAAATACGTTTAGAACATTAAAATATTTCATACAAATTAAAACTCTAAACGGCAGCCACAAACGAATTTTGGAATATCACCTGGTGTCAAATCTGTCTTTCCACACATCCATAATATGTATGTAGCTATATGTCCGACCAATTGTGGTAATAATTCGTCACACGCATCGAAGACGTTGTAATGTAACGGCCCCAACAGTATTTGGTTTCTTCATTCTAAACTTTGGGTATGTCTACAATAGGTCCAACAAACTGTCTCTATCACTATTTTCAGCGAACTTTGTAAAAAAATGAGTTTAAACTGAACCCGGCTGATTATTTAAGCTGACAAAATTTAACTTAACTTCAAAGTCTTTGTCAAAAATCTTTGAAAACATCGCCAACAGACCAGTTGTATGTGGGCACACTAATATGCATATCGTTGCCAATCACTACTACTGTGGGAAATTCCTCCTAGATCACCTACTGAACCTTATCTTACGGAAGAGTGTAATAGGTCGTGTGAGTTACAGGTTAAATATGCTCCATGTTCTTGCGCGCAAAACACCAACTATAAAGGTTAAAATAAGTTAAAACTTTTTCCACCACAAGAAACATTATTTTATTTTCTTAAGTTTAAACCATCGTCTCCTAGTCGTCCACCGACCTAAGTCTAGTAACTCGTACTCAGCCCAGAATGAAAACATTTGCAGAAGCTAGCTGTGACAAACCAACTGATTCACGTCCAGAAATCGTCTCTACTGCATTACTACAATGAATTTTAAAGTTACATTTTTTAACTCACTATTCCATTAAATTCCCTCATTACTAACGTTGATTTTCATTTACACACTATACACAGTATAATAATACTATAGTGATTTAAAATATAATATATCAATCCTTAATATTATCCACATAATAATGTAGTCAAGTGTGGTTTTTATTTATCAATGCTATGACTATACCATGTTAACGTTAATTGGGTTTGATATTATATTAAACATAATATTTCTCTTCTTATACACTGATATTATTGTTTCTATGTTTTTATCTTAAAATGATTAAAGTATTATACCAAACAGATACTATATTACTATTACTTATTATCTACTTACTTACATTACTACTATCATATGACATATTATTATTTATAATGTTAATTGCTGCAATGCTGCAGTTAGTTTGATATTCTGCTAATATTATTACATGTTATATTTTAACATTTGAAATGTAACAACGTCTTGATTATGTACAAACAGTTGCAAAGTGATAATATTAATTATATATAGAAAGCTAAAAAAAAATTGTATAACAATAATTATAACTATTTTTAAGCACATGAAACAAATATCTATAATTGTATACATTTATAATATTATATAAATACTCTTAACTATTTTATGATTGATTATTTGATAATAATTAATTTTTAAATATTTTTAGTATTTCAATTAACTTGATTCATTCAAATTTGATTCCCTTGAATGTTTAACCCAAATGTGTGTGAATAAATTCAATTTGTTTTCATAGAAAATAAGAATAAAAATGTACTACAGAGATTGTAGCGATAAATTTGTTAATAAAAAATAAATTATGTAAAAAGTATTTTGATCTGCAAGTACGAACAAGATTTTGTAAGACAATTTAGTCTTGTGCCAATGCCAGAAATGCCATTTCTTTAATTTTGCCGATTCTCTCTTTGAAAATACATGTAAGGATTTAAAATGTAGTGTACAGCATGTTTGTGCTTCGTTTATTGGAATTGACCTTACAATACTTTATGTGACATGAATTAAAAATACTTAAGTTAAGTTTATGTGAAGTAAGCTATTCAGTAAACCCGACTAATACCATCATGGGTTATTAAGGGACAAATAACGTGATGGTGATGGTTTTTATTAGTTGATATGTAACTTTATTCAAATTAATATTATGACTATTATTTTCTGTGCTTTAATCGACTTAAACTTAAAACTATAATTATTTTTTTTTTAATATATTACATTTAAATAGATTATAAGTGTTACATATTTTAATCACTTTAATATTTATGAATGATTTTCAAATATCATAATTTTAATAATATGTATAAATAAATAAATTTAATTATTAACTATTTAAAACATAATTGCTTTTCTTCATATTAAAATAGGTGAACACATAATATTATACATGCGACATGTCTATGTTATAACACTAAGAACTAAAATAAGTTTTGTTGTTATTAAATTAATCTATTAAACGTTTTTTTTTTTTTTTATGTAAGATACTATTATATTTAAAGAGGCTTGATGAAAATAAAAACATTGAGAATTTAGAACCCAAGAAACATTTTTTTTTTGTCTTTGTAAATAGCAAAAATCATACAAGTATTAAATAAATATACCACAAATAGGTGAAAAAAAATAAAGCATTTCTTTTCACACTTTTTTGTGTTGGTCTGTTAACGAATTTTGTGCTATCGTAAAATGATTGTGTGATATGTGACCAAAGAATAAAAATAATGAAACTCTAAAAAGGTCGAAAACATATTATAAACTTTCACTTTATTGTAAGATGAAAAATAAAAATAAAATTGGATTTCTGTATTGTTTAAAAAATGTTTGAGATCTCTGATTCAGTGAAATACATAACTAGGTAAGATACCTATTTACTAGGTACCTATTAAGATCGAATATTGGGATACCTCAATGTTATGTTTATCGTTTGAAACAAAATCCATGGATGATAAACGATGATTACAACTCGCTCATTTCATCAATAAAGTTGTTAATAATTATCAATAGTCCAACAATAGTAAATTAACAAATTATTTGCACATATTGCATAAATTATCCCAAAAAACCATATTTTTTTACAAACCGATTACAACGTATGCTTATCCTCGTTCTTATCACATTTTTATAAATACATTTTCGTCACAGACACATCATTCAATATTTTACCTATTACTAAACAGTTTTTTAGTTACTCCTAGTTATTCAAATCACATCAGACACGGTATTTGGGAACGTGTATCAAACTAATCGATGCGTTGAGCGACAACACATGATAATGCGTTTTTCTTACGTTTATACCTCTTTCGAACTGATAAACACACATTAATGAATTAAATCATAATATTACAATATTACCGAGTACCTAGGTTTCTCTTAAACTTTTATTAATAGTATTGTAATCAGTTATTCATATTTTTTTACTTTTTGTTCATTATTTGTTAATACTTTTATTTTTGTTTTTTTTATATATTTGTCATTTGTTTTTTGTACCATTGTATTGTTTGGCGTTTGCTTAAGTAATTATTAAGTTATTTTGTTGAAATGTATTATTAAAATATTGTATTGTACTATTGGGCCCCCGCCCGTTCATGAATAAATAAATAAATGAATTACCACCACAGACGTATATGAATATCGACTGATTTTTGACGTTTTCTGAAAACCGATCACAGTATTTGACTGTTAAACGTCACATCTGGAACGTTTATTCTTTAAAATTACATAAATTATTAACCAATAGTTTTACACTATCGCGAAATCAACCACTCACTATCGTACTAAACCAATAACATTAACTACTAATAATGAATGCTCTTTAAACTAACATTTAATGGGACATTCAAAAGTAGCTATGAGAAAAAAAACTATAAACGGCATAACTTATCGGACTACTCACGTATAATATTATTTTATCTTTTAGTTCTCAGTCTGTTTGTAACCATCAACCCTTTATCGTTGTCCATTATTAGAAGGTATGTAACAGAAATAGTTGACAAGTGTAATTAAATAACAAGTAATACATTTTGTTGTAATCAATGTTTATTTTTTTTAAATAATTTAAAGTTATATTTAATTATATTTTATTTATAACATAATATCTATCTAAATAATAAAAAAACAATTTATAAATTATAAAAGTAAAAGTTAGTTAACTACATATCTGTCGGTTCTTTCCGTTACACAATGTGGTACACTTTCATAATATAAATATATATTAACGTATTCAAGACTATTTTTTCTTTTTAAAGAAGACGATACAATACGTCAATACGTAAACCTCTTTCTCGATACTCTCTACTATTAGTTGTGATCTCATTCTTTGAAGTATTATATTAATTTAGCGACTAGGTAAAGCGTACCTACGCATAAAACGAAAAGTTTGTTTAGAAAATACCTATCCTTTGATCTGTATATGAGACGATATTATGTATATGGTAGGTATGTACGCAGGCCATCCTTGCAACTACAATTTGCTCTATTAAAATTAAATGCATTCATTGAATATTACAGAATGCTCTCATGAATATTTGTTAGGTATATATAATATTATAATAGAGAAATTATAATATCGGACATCCGTGCTCACTGCTCACGTAATAAGAAAAATTAAAATAAAATTATACTTCATTATTTAAATTAATTTAACTAAGGAAATAAAAACACCTAAGCATGTTAAATTCCTGTTTTATATTTATACGGAAACTAAACGTTATATTTCATGCTGATGAAACAATACATTTGAGGAGAGGTACACAAAGTGACCACACAAAAGGAAATAATATGACACCACACTCTTTTTAATTGTCGTACTTTGTAGAAATGTAGACGAACACTTCTACAAATGTATATGTTATTCACGATTATCAATCGCCACAGCTCAGAATAATATTCGAGCCCTTAGATTAATCACGTTTAATTTGTCTTACAAAAATAGTTAACCTTAACAGACCAACTAATTTGAGATTTTGCCGACAGTAGTAAATTGATAATATTATTATTCATATTAAGTATTTATAATCTAGTGCCCCATAAAACTATAATTATAACAATTTGATGGAATATTTTTTTAATACTTTGGTTTCTTTTTTAAATGATTGGTATAAACTTCTTTACTATAATAGTGTTATATTATCCAGTTATAAACATATTTTTTGACATCGGTGAATTATTATTCAAATGTTATTGTAGTTTATTAGAGTTTTTAAACTACTTAATAGCTTCAAAATAAACTTAAATAATTT